AGGAGGTATGGATCAGGTCAGTAAGTATCAGAATTTACAAAGAGCAAATTCCTCAAGCTTCTCTATCTGGAAGATGCTGCATAGAATCAACTGGTAGACATCATATGCACATTGAGCCCCTGAAAAAGAGACAGGGGTCATCATCATCTGGGGTAGTTGTGCCCCTGCTGTCTCATCCACTGCATTCTTGATGAGATCATCTTTGGCTGTGAGAAAGGAACTGGGGTTTTTCTGTTAAGTGTCTTAGAGGACTGCTGGGAAACAAGGAAGCACTGCTTGCACGCCAATGCTGCAGATGAATCAGGCAAGCAGATGGATCCTTTATTTCATTACTGCCCTGACCATGGCATTTGTGTTCATTCCACAAAGGCCTGCCAGTGCCAAGCGTGGGTGGGGAGGCATGTGCTTCAAGAATGAAGCCATAATTAGTGGTGGATCATTGCAAACACTGGGACAGAGAGGCTTTCCCTGTTTGTTTTATACCTTCCAAATGTTCTCATTATGTATGTTTTAAGGCATTTAATCCCGGTTCTCTTCCTTCCGGCACACTGCAGGAATGAGATTTCTGTTTTTCATGTAAGCCAGGCTTCTGGCAGAACAGAGGCAGCAAAGCTTAGAGCCACTCACAGAGGGGGCTGAGATTTAGGAAGTGTCAGGGACCAACTAGACGTGCATCAGCTTGGGAGTGGGTGGGTGATAATTAAGGGGATCAAACATAGCACGGAGAATGAATTTAACCCTCTCTTCCCTTGCTTTGGTCCTGAGCAAAACCCTTTCCTCTGAAGCTAGTATTTGCACTGGGAGAAAACCTGTCGTTCGTGCCAATGAAGGATTTCAGGCAAAAGCAAATAACCTGCTTTTGAAGAGCAATTTTCCTCAGGACCACTGCAGGGAAGGAACGTGTTAAATTCCCTGCAGGAGAGAGCATCACAACTGGGGGCTGTGCATACAGAAAAGGCCCTCTCATGTTATATCTAACCTAGCACCAGCCCATACCGGGACACAGAAAAGGGACTTTCCATCAGAAAGTGCAGGCACGATAACATGAGAGGTGACAGTTGTTTAGGTACTCTAAGCTCAAGACTATACAGGGCTATACAGGTATTAAACAGCTCTTTGAACAGTGTCCAAAAGCATACAATGAACTAGTGGAGATGCTCGAAAGTGGGCAAAGTACAGTCGTCTCTTGGATCTCGAATGCCTTGGCTCCCAAACAAATCAGCGCCTGAACAATCAAAACCCAGAAGTGAGTGTTCCAGTTTTCAAATGTTCTTTTGAAAACCAAATGTCTGACAGGGCTTCCGAATGGCTGCAGGAGCTTCCTGCAGCCAATAAGAAGCCACACTTTGGTTTCCGAATGTTTTGGAAGTCAAACGGATTTCCAGAATGGATCCCTTTCAACTTCCAAAGTACAAATGTATGCTCAGAAAACTATGTGCTGGTGAGCACCCTGGTGCTGCATTCTGGATCTAAAGAAAGCTCAAATTATTCTTCAAAGGCAGCCCCATGTAGGGGCTTCGCAGTAACCCAGGCTCAATGCAACCAAAACACGTGTCACTGTGGCTGTAACATATATGGAGTATTGTAGTTTTTGCACAGACTGCAAATCACCAATTTGCCTCTGAGGAGAACCACACTCTACTCATAGAGAGGGCATGCCAATGACTTGTGCTTTTGTAAAAACATTCTGGACATTCATTCATCATTCATTCATTTAATATAATACCCTTCATCTGAGGATGGAGTTAATACAAACAGTTCACATCCAGTCGATGCCTAGAAGGATACCTGCACTCATTGAAAAATTCACCCAGATTGCAGCAGTGTGCATGGATCCATTTTCCTCATTTGATAGAGAATCTCCCCGTAAAGCAATTATCTGAGGAATAGAACCCAAAGTACTTTTAGAGCTGCTAACTCCTTTTTGGTGTTCAACTTTCTTTCTTGGGAGAATTTTATCTGACTGCCCAGCATGCAACTTAATAGGCCAAGAGGAGATAAATAGATAGACATGGTTCCTATCTCCTTACTCATCTCTATTGTGTAATAATGTTAAAGGAAGATAAATTATTGAATGGATGAAATATTTTACATCCCTCCAGACTGCAATAAAAAAACATCTTTAATTAAAATGAGGAAAGAACAGGGAAGAAAATTTGATAAAAGTGGGACCCAAAGAAAAAAAAAAGGTCTCCTCCCACAATGATATTTCTTTCTCTTCTCCCACCTTTCCCTTGGGGAATAGCAGAGCAATGATATATATATGTATCCTTAGCGATCAGCATGAATAATTGCAGCAGCAACAGAGATGAACAATTCAATTTTAAATTGAGAACTGGTCAACGCTGAGGAGTTTTAATAACTCCCTTCATCATAACAGGGATCGTCAAGCTGGGAAAAATCCTCTGTCGGTGTTAAGCCAATATTCCATAGCAGCTGGGTTTTTTGCCCCCAGTAGTACAATTTGTAATTTAATGTGATTCTGTGCTAATAAAGTAATATACTTTTTTTTTTTTAATCAAATAGGCACAGTTTGTTATTAAAGGGTCTGTTAGTAAAGGTTGCTCTCTGGCTGTGTAAGATGGAGAAGGCAGCTTCACATTATCAGAGGATGTGGCAAGAATTCCTTCCTAGAGGCACACTGGGCCCTCTGCGTTTGAGTACACGGACATCTTCAGAGTCCTCATCTTGTGTGGATTGCTAGTGCTTGATCTGCTGCTTTGGATATGTGATTCTGAATGGCCTTTGTTGTGATGCCATGTCTGGATATAATGACCCCTGTATGATAAGAGCAGGAGCCATTAGGACGGACTCATTCATGAAACGAGATGTGCTTGTACTCCAAGTTCCTGGACTGGAACACCAAAGTCTATCAACTCAGTACTTTCTCATTCTCAATCAATTGTTCTCTTTCAGATTAACAACCTTATTCTGTCTGGAAGTTGTCAGAGATGTCAAGAGTGAGTTAATTATTTTTTCAGTTGTGTTATGTCAAAACCACCACACACAAATATAAAAGATTATTTAGCATAAAAAAGGCTATATGTCACTGATACATTTTTTCTATCATGCACAAATATAGATGTACGCTGCTTGCAAACATTCTTATATGTGAATGTTTGGCTCAACAAATAGGGCAAAAAACTCTCCCTGAAATTCCTCCTTTGCACCCAAATGTAGGGCTATGAACCTGGCAGTCTGACCCTTAACATGCCTGAGTTCTACTAAAGGCCCCCTCTGGACTGGTGTTTTATTGCAGATGTAGCCTTGACACAATTATAGTGCATTACCAGCAAATTTATTCTGCTTTAGATGCTCCCCCTGTTCTGCAAAGCTACTCCAATGCTACCACATTATTGGTGTCAGGAGGCCCTACAGCACAACAAAAGCATGTGTGTTTAGGGGAGGAATAAACCAGAACATTTAAAATAATAATGATAAAGTTTCAGGATTTCAGCAGGAAGTTGTGGTATGTGCACTGATTGGAAATGAAGCAGTGTGACCACCCCAAAACCTTTGCAGTATCAAAAGTTGGATTGTGTGTGACATTCTGAAAGCACTATGAGCACAAATCAATATGAATGGCTAATAAAAAAGGATGTCTGGAGGGGCCCTAAATTCAATGGAACACCCTTGAGAGAATTGGCAAAAGAGCTCTACTTGTCATCCTCTTTTCCAGTGCTGGAGCCCACAAGGGAAAGCAGTAAGGCAAGACAAGTCAATGAGTGCTGGCCCACAGCTCTGAATGGGTAACTTGCTCCACAAAAGTTTGGAGCAGATTGAGACCTTTTATGCTTCCATTATCTAAAATACTTCATCCAGGCTTCATGCCCTTGAGAAAACTTCAGAGCACTGACTAAAAGGCCAACCACTGGCCTGAAGATGGGCACTTCTGCTTCATTCCATAGCCTACCACTTGGTGCTGCCTGACTGATGATATGCCATGGGAGGTACCTAGTTCTTCAGGCTCAATGGAAGGTGTCCATGATGGTCCAGGCTCTGGCCCTATAGTCCTCAGTGGTCTGGGAGTTTCCCCTGGGCATTCTTGTCCAAATGCTTCAGACACAGTCGTCTCCCAGTCTTCCACAGTCAGCTCTGAGCCCAGACTCAGACCCTCCCCTCCCAATCTTGTGTCCCTGCAGCCCTCTAATTCTGTGTCCAGGTCACTACTGGGTACAAGGGTGGTGACACAATTTCTAACTGGTCAGTGGAATCTAATTGTTGCCCCTGTACTCACAAAAGGGGTTGTGATCCAGAAGAAGTGTTTGCAATGGAAGGGGAGGGGATGTGGTTTCTGCCAATTCCCTCCCCCTGCTTTGAAACTTGTGGGACCCTTATACCACCGTGTTCTGTAGGGTCGCCCAACTTTCTGGAGTTTTTATGGGGGGGGGGATGCTGCAGATGATAAGGAATTGCCAAAAATGGTCTCTCCTCTTCCATAAGGAGGCATTTCTGTTGGATCAATAGCTTTTCAATGAGTACAAAGACACAGATTGGATACCACCCATTGTAACTGCATTTGTATCTCTATCTAATAAATGTATCTTATTAAGCAACCTTTTTGTTATAGGGACCCCCTCTTTGGACCACTCTTTTTTGTTTTTTACTTAGTTAGTTACCTCTTTCTTCTACTGTATTTATAGAAATCCATCTACTAATATTGTTCTCCTGGCTGTTCTTGAGCAACCTTTAGTTCTCAAGGATGATTCCTTTGGGACCCAGTGTCCCAACTATCTAGACACCACGCATACAAATCAAGCATATGGAACTGAAAATATTTGCATGCAAAGTCTGCATCTAAAATTTTGAATAATACCAATGGTGCGTTTTAATCTTCAAAACATACATTTCAATCATCAGGCAAATGAGTCTAATGTTTGGGGCAAAGCTTGATATTTAGTCAATCTCAATGGCAGAGCAGAAAACGTAATAGAAATTATAATTTTGCACCAAGTTTGAGGAGAGGGGATGTCACTCCTGACTTTTAACTATGCCTACCTGTGCTCTAAGATCATTGTCAGATGCTCTCCTCCAGGTGTCCTTGCCTTCTGAACTTAGACAGATGGTGATTGGGGAGCGGGTCCTTTCAGTGGAAGCATCCCTATCTCTTCACTGCATTCTGTAAGAATATGGTGCTTATTCCCATATTGTTCTCAGCCCTTTTTAAGTTAGCTGGGTTGGTTTTATTGCATAGGCTGTGTTTATTGTTTTTCTGCTGTTTTCAGTCAGCTGTTTTAACTATGCTGTTTGTAAATTGCTTTCTTTGACTGTAAGCCTTCTTGATATCTATGAAAGCAGAATTCATTTTGGGTGAGAATCAAAAGGAGATGGACGAGTGTGCAGTTCCATGAGATATGGCTCAAGTGTCATAAGCTGTTTTGTACAGTCATTGTTCTATCTATGCAGCAGAAGTTCTTCTCTATAAGTTGTTCTGGATTGGGTCTTTCGGGTACATTGGATGTCACTTTATGTCAAAGCTTCACAAGGCTCTGCAAAAAGCATTGGAATGTTATTCTGCACTCTTCACTATATTGGGACATCAGGGGAAATAAACAGAAGCCTATGGGTGGCTGGGAGCAGGACAGCTTCCCTTTTCTTTTTCCTTGGTCTAAAAACAAGCAATCTGATGTTGCCACTTTTAGAACTCTCCTGGGCCTTCAAGCATTGCTGCATTTTATAGCACATGACACCTGCCGTTCAAAAGCCTATGAGCACATGGCCCTGTGTGACAAGTTGATTCTGGCACAAAGCTGAAAGAGGCCTTAAGCGGAAGGTGAGTGGGAAAAGACATTGCCAGCCTTCAGAGCGAATTTTTCCCCTGGGCTCCGGTTCCCCTTGGACTTCGAGGGGGGGCGGGAAAGAGAGGGAGAGAGAGAGAGAGGGAGAGCATTAACTTGATGGCACAAAGTCTCTTCATCTCAATGTACAATATTGCTGATGTTCACGTGGAAAACCGTCATTGACCCTTTGGACCAGATCTCCCCCAAAACTTATTGCCCTTTTCAGCATTGGTGGAGAAGAATGTCTGAAGAGTAGAGTAGCCATCATCACCTGCAGCGCCTCTTTTATTTTTATTTATTACATGTATATACAGTGGTACCTCGGGTTACATACGCTTCAGGTTACACACGCTTCAGGTTACAGACTCTGCTAACCCAGAAATAGTGCTTCAGGTGAAGAACTTTGCTTCAGGGTGAGAACAGAAATTGTGCTCCAGGGGCGCGACAGCAGCAGGAGGCCCCATTAGCTAAAGTGGTGCTTCAGGTTAAGAACAGTTTCAGGTTAAGAATGGACCTCCAGAACGAATTAAATACTTAACCTGAGCTACCACTGTACCATCCTTTATCCACAGATCTTGTGGTCAGATTACCAGGAGTTCAGAATGGTGAGAAATCACATTTGACCTCTTCTTTCCATCCCAACCTATTCCAGGGATGGGAAACCTGTTTGCCAGAGGATGTTGGACTGCAGTTCCCATCAGCCCTGGTCAGTGTGGTCAGGGATGATGGGAAATGTAGTATCTAACAGCCAGAACCCCCCAAACATGTCCTTTTCTATTGATATCAACCAACCGTGGGGGGGGGGGGGATCTGACTAGGCCTGCTTTAACAGCAACTTGATCTGCAGAAATCAGCGGGTGAAGCTATTTACAGCCTGGAAATAAACATTATTACCTGAAAATGCCTGCACATTTGGCTGTTCCTAAAGGTATTACCACAGCGACCAATTGAAAAAGTCAGCAGCCCTACCCTATTCATGGGAGCTGAAATACTTTTTTAAAAATCTGGCTTTTTTGACAGTAAATTTTGGGAGGGGGGAAGTGATTTATATGTCTAATTGGGTTTTTATTTGCATTTTAAATCACGCTCTTCTGCTAAACTAATGGACCCCCTATTTATAGATGACTCCAACATAAAGTGACTGCTAATTACTACAATTAATATAGCGTTAAAGGCTTGCCAGCCAACTCCACTGCAACTTGTATCGCCTACTCATTTTCAATTAAGGCACATTGACAAGTAAAATACGCAGTTATTAAGAGCAGAACTCTGTTGTGTAATTACATTTTGCTAAGGTCATTAATCTGCTGCAATACCAAGTTTTCCACCAAATGCATTTGGGGGTGGAGGGGCTTTGTGGGGAGATGCCAAAGAGAGCAAGGGTTGTACCGGGTACTGTACTGGATGTTATGGGCCTGGGATTCAACTGAAGCAGAGAGTTTAACAGTTTTCTGGGGGTCTCTAATTATCCAGAGAGCTAAAGTTGCCACCATTTCCCTGATGCTGTGGCTTTAATGAACATATGGCTTGCAGAAATCCAATGGATCCAGCTTTTTACAATACTGCATCTCCATGAGAGGGAAAGCTTCACAGGTGAATGACAGTTTTGTAGTTGTTAGATATACAGCTTCTAGAGAGTGTTTCTATTGGACCTGCAACAACCACCTGTCCATACGTGCACACCAATGTTGCTGGCTTGAAACAGTGGGTAAGAGGGGATGACAAGGGGTGGGTGATACTTTCTCTATGGCCACTTTCATCCTTTTCTCCACACCCCACTGTAAGCACACATCCAGAGCCCCATCTGGGGAGAGTTGCAAGAGATAATCAGCTGATAGGAAAAGAGTTAAACACTTCTTACCACTCACCAATTTTTCAGTGCAAGCTACTCCTTAAGCCACCATTTGCATGTGATTACTTGAATTCCACTTTCCCCAGACCTGACCAAACATGGAGTTCCAGTCTCAGAAAGACAACAATGGGATTTTACTTTAAACTCAAGATTTTGTGGTACCATTAATAGGAGTAAAAGGGTAATTCCGTATACATTATACATGTATTAACATGGTAGAATCAGTGGTGTAGCGTGGGTTGCCAGGGGCCAGGGCCACATGGAGGGGATGGGTGAGAGGGAGGAAAACAGAAGGAGTATGCATGCACATTCAACTGCCTGATATGTTGTAGTTTCATTGCTGAGCAACAACATGCAGAACTCAGTGGAGTGAGAGGGCACCCAACCAGAAGAGTCTCTGAGGTGTACTTGCCTGGAGGCAGAGTCAGCATCTGAAGTCAGGTCCAGTCCTAGGGCAGGGCAAACAGCAATCTGCATGATCAGATGGTCCAGGGGTCAGGGAATCCGAATATCATGCGGTCAGGGGTCAAGGATGAAGATGAGCAGGAAGCAGCAAGGTTGGGCCATCTGATTGCTGCTGGAAGCTCTGCTTAAGGAGGCTGAAACCAGCTGGTTCTCATCAGTGCCTTCTCCTCTGTGTCCTTGAAGGCTGATTAGCTGCAGGTGGAGTCACTCCCCCTTTCCCCCCTTCAGGCCGCTGTTCAGCAGGTGAATATGACTCCTGGCACATGTCACAATGGTGTCCATTTCACCCAGGAGATCACAGCCACAGAAATAAGAAAAGAAGATTAATTCCGTTATTTGGAGAGGTCACTTCCTGGTTCAACTAGAGCCCAGTGACGGAAGTGTGCAGTTATATTGAGGCAGCACCTGGTGTTGAAACTTTGTGCCCCTAACAATTTTGCCTCATGCAGGTAGCAAAATACTTTGAGCCACCTTAAGATGGAAGAAATTACTCACCATCCCTTCTCCTCAGATAACCTGGATGGCACACTGTGGTATCAAGTATTCGTTCGGATTCAAATGTGTGACATTTCAATGTACATAACCAAATCCAGTCTACCTTAGGGGCACTCATTTCTCTCCCTCAAACCCCCACCCCGGCCTGCTCCCCACCTTCCTCAGCTTGGTTTGCTCGATGCCATGGCCCGGTGCATTGTGGGTACTCCCTTCCCCAGGTTCTGCCTCGGCTTCCTGCTCAGGAGCCTCCTGCCCCTTGGTTCCCCTGCAGCCACCGCCATCACGGGAGAATGCATGGTGCCCCAGCTGCTGTCTCTGAGAGGCAAGTGCAAAAGTTGAGCTGAGGCCCTGCATGCCTTCTCTCTCCCTCAGCCTGGTGAAGCTTGTCTCTCGCTTCAGCCGCTGCCACCTGAAACGCACGCTGACCTCTTTTGGCAAATTGGCCTTCTTTTGGAGCTTTTTTTAAAAAAAGAAGAAGAAGGGGGCATTGCCATACGTCCAAGTTTTCCCAGACATTTTGCCTTAAACTGGAAATTCCCCCCTGGACATGATTTCCAAGGTCAAAATCCCGGATATGTCCAGGAAACGCTGGACGTATGGCAGCCCTAGTCTCAGGTACCAAAATGTCTTATTTCATTATACAGCATTCAGCAAATGATGCTGACTCGCCTCTTCACTCTAACTTTTGACACTTGAGATGTATATTTTTAGGGCCCACACTGCTTCTATCATTTTAAGCTGTTCTAAACTGTTTTTAATATTGTGCTTTAAGTGTTGTGGCCCAACCCATGGCAAAGTGTAGGTAATAAACTACAAGAACAACAACAACAACAATAGCAACAACATCCAGATAATAATTTGTTAGCCAGATGATGGATTTTACCCCTAAACACATGCAGGGAGTCAACCCAATGAAGCTAATAGTTGCCATGAAGAATGAAAATGTCTTTGAAGACAGCAATCTGTCATGCCTAATTGCCATCAGGATCTTGCTAAGCGTATCTCGGCATTTTCAGCTGGGTATTTGCCAGAAATACAAGGAAACCATGCAAGATCATGTTTTAGCCACTGCTACTAGGCTTCATCAGAGGAGAAGGAGAGGTACAAAAAGTAGATTCTTGGAGAGTTAACCTTAAAAAACAAACAAACGAGAAGCAAGCAAATAAACATCCAAAGCAGCAAAGAAGCAATGGATCCCAGTTGCCTTGAGCTGCAGCTGGTGAAATCATGTGCGAAATATCACAACGTTAGGGCACAAGCAGTGACAAGGTGTAGTGCTGTGAATATAATGAAGACAGACATGGGTCTTTAACACATTCCGACTGACACTTTGACTGTTTCAGATTTAGCACTGGGATAGTAGCGGGAGTCAGGTGATTGCCAGAGTTACTTCTTATCCAGGGTCAAGCACAAATTAGCACTCTGCCCTCTAGCTATGGGATAGGTACCTTTGAAGCACAACAGAATTCACAAACTACTGGAGTCTGGAGGACTCCATGTGCAGAGCACAAAAGCTTTTAAAATAGTCTACATGGGTATGTATTGCTCTTTGTTCTCGATCCCCTGAGAAATGATACTTCATAGCTTTTGCTCACTGCAAAATAAATGATTTGAAGCTACCTTCCTCACTCAATATTCCTCATGTTAGTGTCCCCTTGCCATTGGCTCAAAGCTTACCACCTCAAAAGAAAGTGGCATCTATGGAGACAAGTGGTGAAATGAAGAAATGATACTTGGTGAAAGCACCAAGTGAAGATATGTCCCGGATATGTCCAGGAAACGCTGGACGTATGGCAGCCCTAGTCTCAGGTACCAAAATGTCTTATTTCATTATACAGCATTCAGCAAATGATGCTGACTCACCTCTTCACTCTAACTTTTGACACTTGAGATGTATATTTTTAGGGCCCACACTGCTTCTATAATTTTAAGCTGTTTTAAACTGTTTTTAATATTGTGCTTTAAGTGTTGTGGCCCAACCCATGACAAAGTGTGAGGTGAGGTTCAATGGTCATCTCAGTATAAAAAATGGTGAAATTTAGGGGAAATTCTCAGTGAATTGTAAATGTGTGCTCACGTAAATTTTAAATAGTACTTGTACATTTCGTAGTGATTCATACACAAGCAGGAGACACCACATATAAAGATGCTCCTCAGTACCTGTATTGGCGGCTGATTCTGACAACCATTACTCTTTCCAGCCCTCCTTTTCTTGATGAGCGGTGCTTTTTTCTGGGGGTACGCAGGGGTACGCATACCCCTAAACATTTTGTGAACCTAAGTTTGGCCTCATTGAGGGGCAGTATTTCAATATGAGTAGGAAAATGAGAGTACACCTAAATATTTTTTAGGGGGGAAAGCACTGGCAATGAGAGAACTGCCCCTGCTTTCCACTAACCTACTAAAGAAGCCTTGCTTATTCTTGCAGAAACAGAGAGAGAGAGAGAGGAAGGAAGGAAGGAAGGAAGGAAGGAAGGAAGGAAGGAAGGAAGGAAGCTCTCTTTCCTTATTTATCCTGCAATCACTGGCTTCCTCCTGCTCTTCCCACTGATCTCTACTAGAGAAAAAAGGGTATCTGCAAGAAAAAAGCAAGACCAGTGTAATAGCAAGTAGCATAGAAAGAACCCAGTTCACTTGCTTGTTGCCGAAAACCTACAGCAAGGAAAGAGCAGAAGCACTATAGCCACAGGTGCCTGCCATGGGTTTCAGAACTGGTAACAACTACAAGCACTTGGGGACTTCTTTACAAAAGTTGAGTGGGGAGGGTAACATGTGAATCAATCAACAGTGCTGCTCTTTTCTTGAAATAAAATTACTGACTGTGGGATTGGGTTTGTCAACTGTCTGGTGTGCTGAACCAATCAGTATTGTTCACCACCGTGCTATTCAGCACAAGGCTAGAAAGCTGGAAGGAATCCTGAAAACAACAGGATAATATGGAATACTTCTAATGGTAGCAGCAAAGCCCTGAGATTCCATGTTTTTTGGGGGAGAAAATAATATTTCCCAGGAATCACTTCTCTCCCACTTAACTACCAGAAGATGAACAATATCATTTAAATATTTTTGGATGTTTAACGATTAAACTTTAAAGTTATTCTATTTGCTGTCTGCTAGTGACATGGAAGGTGTTCAGAGCTGGACCTTGGGCACTTTGTACTGGCTTCATGCATTGTCGCTTATGTTGTGTCATGATCTTTTAACCCAGTTAAAGGCTATTTTTGTTCTCCTTTTGGGAAACCCACTTAGCCTTGATGACTTGCTTCTACTTGATTTCACACTTCCATCTAACACTCACTCTTCAAGAACTGGGTCCTTGAGCTGCTTCTTTGTCATTTTTTTCCTAACACAAGAATCATTTCACAGCTTGCACATTGTTTGTACTTAAAACTAAATCAATTTACTTGAGATTCCTGCAGGGGTTTGGACTAGATAAGTCTTGGGATCCCTTCCAGCTTACAATTCTATGATTCTATGAACATATCTTTCGTATAGCGCTTTAAAATGTTTTCATACTATTTTCCGACTTCTCCTCCGGTTCGCTGTGAGTAGAATATGTTCCCCCTAAGCAACCAGAGAGGCTTTGAGAAGCCCCTAAACCAGCTGCAAGAGATCTCTGCCACACATCCTGTATAATACAGAATTGTCCTGTCTTTCAGTGTAAAATGCTATGTCCTCTTTTGATTAAATACAGGCATAGGAGGCAACTCCTAGGCACCAAGGTCCCTTCGGCTTCCATGTATGTGCAGGGATTCTAAATTCTCCAAGATAAACGAGACGTAAAGCTCTGTAAGTTTCAGTTTTAAACACTAAATTATTATAGGGAAGTAAACTGGGAACCAATGAAGGTATCATAGCTAATGTTATGTGCTGCCAACACACTTGCCACCTTTTGAACAAACGGCAGTTCCAAACACCTCAGTTTGCAGGTGCTGCTTTTTGTGTTTCCCTCCCATAAAGGTGCTTTAATGCTATGCTTTGAAATGCTCTTTTATGACCAATTAAGAGAAAAAGCCATGATTCCATCGTGAGAGAATGAACATTTAAAAACAAATTCCATAGCAATCTGCTCCCAAACCCACACAACCGACTACGGAAATATAAAGATACACATTGTCAGTGTAAAGTGGGAAATTCATAGCTGAGGCTATTGAGGCCTGCATTTCCACATAGAGAATTCCAAGCAGACTGCCAGAACACAAACAGGCGTTGCACAGGGGGCTTAGTCATATCTTCTAGCAGTAGCTCATGTTGGAATCAGACCCGCCAAAGAAGCAGAGTTAAGCTGGATAGCTGAGTTGGTTAGAGCATGGTGCTGATAATGCCAAGGTTGCAGGTTCAATCCCCATATGGGACAGCTGCATATTCCTGCATGGCAGGGGGTTGGACCAGATGATCCTCAGGGTCTCTTCCAACTCTACATTTCTATGATTCAGCAATTCTATGATTAGGGGAGAAAGAAGGGAATAGAAAGAGCATGAATGATAGTTTCCTTTGTGGGTGGTATCTTGAGCAGTTAGATTTAGGACCAAGAGGATGATTCCAAGTGAGCACTGAGCTCGAATCCTTCCTTCCCCTTAGCAGTAGAAGAATCAGATCAGTATGTAACTTCCCATCAGTTCCTGGTGAGTCCTAATTTACATGTCAAAGCTGGATGAAAAGGGTTCCATGCTGTGGCCATCTGCGTGCCATAAAGTATCTTTAGGGTCCCAGCAGTGCATCCACCCAGAATACAGACCATTGGCTTGCTAATACATTACATGCACCTGATCATTCCTGT